ATTCATTAATGAATGTCATTCTCTGAAGTGACTGACAGGGTATCTCTTCACTTTTACTGTATTTTTCTCTTTGATCTCTAAAAAACTTGTCTCTTAAATTTTAAAGCAGGGTAGGAAAGGTGATGCCCAAGAACACTAATGCTCTTGAGGATTTCTTTTGGTGTTCACCAGGGTCTCTGTCCCACCCAATTTTAATTTGAGAAAGATTCTTTTAATTTATTTTGAATGGAAAGTTTAGAAGCTTGAGCATCCCAGCCTCTAATATTTTTATTTCTAAGAACACCTCAAGACCCCGCATAAGCTCCGTAGGAACCCTTTGAAAGTGAATACAGTGCATTGCTGCAATTTAGTGCTTTCTCTGAAAATGTGCCCACGCGCGCAGAAAGAAGCAGAGTAAATGGTGGTGCTAAGGAATATCCTTGGGCATTAAAGGGTTTGCAGGAAGCACCAGTCTGCCTTCACCAGTTTGTGACTGTCCACACCCACCAATACAGCTGTTTATGAGGGTGCTAACAACACGCTCTTAAATAGGTTATCTGGCCAAGCATGAGCAATCTGTGCTTTACATTTCTGATGATAGGACTATAAAAGTACTATGTCTCGGCCAAATCACAGAATCGCTCCTGTCTGCTCTGATCAATCAGAGGCCCTTTGAAGCTTCCAGCAACGATCTTTCCCTAATGTCCCAGAGAGTTCTGGCTGGAACTCTGCCCAGAAGACCCAGCATTGTCCTATCAGCCTCAATCTGGTGACTTCTCTGTTGGCTTGGATGCCTGGTCCTTGTTTCTTACAGGTTGCAAGGGTGTTGTGTCTGTCTTCTATTTGTTGTATATATTTTTATAACGATAAAGCATATAGGAATTAAGGCAGAAGGGGCCCATTTTCCTGCATCATCTCTTTAGGGGTGTCATTTTGTTGGCACAGCTTGGAAGAGGAGGCTAAACGAGCGCTTAGGGACATACAAGGGATGTTTTCGGGCTTTCCAGCAAATTCCCCCTCTGCGTGGCTGCACGGCCAGCATATGAGCATTTCCATCATTTTCTGGAGTAAACTGGAATGAACAACACATTCCTGGATCCAGAGAACAACACAACTTGCCTTTGAATGCATGCATCAGTCATCACCAACTCTTTCACATGGCTTTAGAAACTAAGAAGAATTTCCCGAACTACCTTGGAGGTAGCTCTACACTCTTGCTGTTCAAAGAAAAAGAAAAACCAGACATTTGATTGAACAGCCCCAAATCCTTAGAGGCAACTGTGATTGTTTGAGCTGATCTGATTTCAAAAAAACAAATTCAGTGGCCAGAACGATGCTTTCCAGTGTTTTATCTAATCCCATCAAACTGTTCTTTCTCTACTGAGCAGGTTGGGGAAAATCAGTTGCCTCTCCTGCTCTGCTCTGCTCTCCTGTCTCTGAGGCAAAACTTTTCAGGGCTAAAATAGGGCACCTCTTTGACTAACAGTTTTTAAGGGCAGGAGGGCAGATTAGAGTTGGGCATTCATCCCATCTTCACTGCTGCAGTACAGTGGCATTGCTAGTTGCAGGAAC